AGGTGTGTTGGCTGACTCTGGAAGGGATTCTGCTGATCCTTGGCTTTTACTGCATGCTCCGGGGCGCTTCCTGATGACCCGGCATTTCTTGTTCTGCACTTCCATGATCTTGGCAGCTTTTGCATCTTAAAGAGGGGAGAAAACAGCAGGAAGGGATTTTATTCACCTCATATGGCAAGCTCCCACACTGCAGAGCTGTACGTAGGGCAGGAGCAGAGTCCCTTCCTCTTTAATTTCCCCCTGCATGCAAAGTTTCCCTACCACATAGCATAAGCTTCAGCTGTTTGCACAGCTCCTCCTCCATCTTCTTCCTGTAGTCTCCAAATATGTTTCTCATGATTTGACGTTTCTTCACCAGCGGAGCCTTGTCACTGCGCAGCGTCCTGATTGCACGGAGAGCCTCCTCAACTGGAGCAGCACAAGGGAGAAACACCTCAGTTTAAGATTCTCTGAACCCTCCAGCAAGGGAGATTTCTCGTTTATTAGAATACTCACCCTGCTTGGGAGTGGATTTCTGTGTCTTCAGGCCAATTTCCAGTTGTTCCACACACCAATCCACCTCTTTCTGCAGCTGGTCATCTGACTGCTATGGAACAGAGTGAGCACGAGGAAATAAAGCACCCCAAAATTAGAGCAGCAGTTGCTAAACAGGAAAAAAGTTGCATAAAGGCAGGACCATCCCGAATTTCAGGCTCTGGAGATTACAAGCTTCCATACAACTCCCCTATTGTCTATATTTTCACTGGATAAACTTAAAGCACTGGACAAACGTTTAGTTGCAATTCACTGTCTCTGTTTGATGGATTTAATAGCTGGCTGTCACTCAGATGACACAGTGGAAAGCTGGTCAGGACCATCCATAAGAAAGAAGCTGTAAATTCAATTTATGGATGAGAGGAATAAGCATTAACAAAACAAAAAGCTACCCAAAAACTTGCCCAAAATCCAACATAAGCAATGGACAAAATCAGAAGCTGAGCCCTGGTGTCTCAGCCCAAATACTTGCTCAACCAGAAATGCATGAAGTCAAGGGAGACAAAGCCCTCAAAGATGGAAGTCCTAACAAACAAAGCCAGCCAGTGGAAAGGAAAAGAGCTGCATCCTACAGCTGAAGCACAAAAGTTCTCATGCTACCTCTTCCTCTTCCTTACAGCAGTCTCTTTCCAGTGAATGGGATGGGATTTGCATCACTTTCAAATCTTTTCAACTCTCTGATATTCAGCAGTGTTTACTGGCAGGGCTGTTGTTCAAGAAGCAGATAATGCATACATATAATACAACTTCAGTCTAGAACATTAAAAGCAACTTTCTTGCAATTTTATGTCTCAGAATTGCTCAGCTGGCAGGGTTTAATGATAACAACTACAACAATGCTGAATAGAAAAATAAAAGGAAGACCTGGACCATAGCAGAACATCAGAAAGTGTCACGATGTGTTCAGATCAGAAAATCTTAATGGTGTCTTCACATAACTTGCAGCTTCGGCTGAACTTGGGCCTGCCTCACGGTGGGAGCCTTCCCGAAAGTTCTCAGGCTTTGCACTGCAACGTGCCATAGCCACGGCTGCACCACCTCAGAGCTTTCCTATGTGCATTCTATGTGCATTTCCCATGTGCACTCATCCTCCCTGATAACGTGCCAGTCAAGAGCACGGTGCCTCCTTCGGTGCCCGCTGACACCAGCATGGCACTGGCTGATGACAGTTCTTGGTTTATGTTAAATAAAACATGACACCCAGCTTCCCAGGATTAGGATTACAACTCTAAACATCAAATGCTTCAGCACAGGTCTGAAACAGAAAACAAAGGAACGTTACATTTGTTTCCATTGATCAGGCTCAACAGGGAGAAAACTGCTGCTCCAAGTCAGCAGCAATCCCTGTCTTTCACATTCACCTCAATTCATGTCACATACTAACTGCACTGACATTAAGTTTCTTTTTTACTGAAGGATTAAAATTATAGGATTCCATCAATATTTGAATACCTGAGAGGTCTCATCCTGATGGGCTGCATCTTTATTCTGGCATCCATTAGCTTCCACCTTTGCCTTCCTCTCAGTCTCAGTTTCTTTCATGTCTATTTTACTGACAGATGCATTCTGTTTCTTCTTCTTTTTCTTCCTTTGTGCAGCTCCCTCTGATGCTGATTTCTCTATCACTGTGCTATCCCCAGGGGCACTCTCTGGCTTGGACATCTTTAGTGTGACATGGCTTTCATCCTCTCTGGGCACAGCACTCGCAGTTTGATCCAAGTCAGACTCCTCCAATGCTGAAATCTGCACCACATCTACTGACTCAGCAGGCACTGCATTATCCAGCACCTCACGATCTGCTGCACCCTCCATACGTTGGCTGGCTGGAACTAATGGGACCAGAGGATAGTCTTCTTTAGGAACGGCAAAGCTGAAAGACAACTTGGGTTCTTGGCCAGAGGCAGCAAAACTCAGAGCTCCACTGCAGAGTTCTTTTGCTCTGTGGTTCTTACACTGGTTTGCATCTGCTTCAGCAGCGCTGACACCAGGGACTGCTTCCAAAGGTGCACCAGCTGCTTCTGGGTCTGCTTTACAAAGCAAAAAATCAAATTGAGTGTTGTAGTGAGATGATGTGAACCCCTCTGGTTTTGCCTTAGAAATCTGGTCTGACTGTTCCCCATATGACATACCTTCTGTAGCCTGCCCACTGCCTTGCTGTACTTCCACATCAACAAGTTTTGTGCCTAGAAAAGAAAAATAATGTTTCTATCATTATGACTGTTTCCTACTATGGGGATGCCATTGCTATTCCCCCTGTAAAGCACTTCCAACCCAAAGCTGTGAGATGGGAAATTCACAGTAAAGAGCCAAACAGCACCACTCCCCAGAGGGACTGCACAAGCTCACCTGCCTTCTTTGTGCTCTTCCAGTCCTCAGCTCTTTGAAGATGACAATCCCCAAGCACGCAGTTTATCACTTCTTGCTTCTTTATAAAAGCAGTCCCATGGGAGCACAGGACCTTGAGAACATGCTCTGTCTCTTCTGCTGCACTCAAGAAAAAGACCGAGAGAAACAAGAAACAGGTTATGGTGGGCCCTAAAAAATCTCCCATGAGACTCCAATGACCGAGTCTCTTCTGAACGTGTACTGTGTTTATACCACCTCTGATTCATGACAGACAGTTAGATGAAAATAAGCTCCAAGTGCTTCTAGGAGCTGAAACAATACCACGAAACATCCTTAACAAAAAAAAAATAGATCCTCTAGCATCTTACCATACATACGTGAAGAATCTTACAGTGAGGCAAATGTGCAACTAACAGCACTGAGGCTACTGACTGCTTAACAACCTCGGAGCAACTGAGAAATCCAGGAGCACGGTGTCTGTTCTCTGGGAAAACTGGGGAAGAGCTGACTGAGCAGCAAGTGCACCCTAAAACACAGGACTCTTGCTTGAGGCTCACACAAACCAGCCAAACAAAGGGTATCTTGCAGGAGCACTGCAGATGTAATGCTGAACATCCCACGTTATGAAAGGAGTAATGGCACTGCATGAGGCAGAAGCACCTCAATGGGGCTGTGGTCACCCAAAAAAGTGGGACGTACCTTCACAGCCCCTGGGTGTCAGCACCCTGAGCACACACATCTCCAGCTGAGTTTAGCTGGCCGCAATCAAGGACTGCTTGCCACTAAGAGCAATTACAAAGGGAGAACTAGAAAAACCCTCAGAGGAAGTGCTCCTCCCCATTTGTGAGCTATTTTCGCTGAAGATCTCATAGCTGGCCTGCCTGAGCTATGCTGCACATCATTGATCCAGGCCATGATCTCAATCCTGATGGGATCCGCCCCATCACCACAGATTTCTATGGCAATCTGCCACTCCACAGCCTGGCTACCTTCAGCAATGCTGCTTCGGTCTCCTCCCTCAGGCACTGCACAGATGGGCCCTTTCCAGCCAAGTCTGCCCCTCCTGCCTTGCTGTAAACAGCCTCTAGGGGCCATTCCTGCTGCCCTGTGGCAGGAGCTTGAAGGTTGAAGCACAAGACACGGGGGTGAGCAAGCACCCTGATGCCCCAGCACAGTGAGTGGGCACGTGTTAATTACTGCTCCATCCTCAGGTGCACCAGCAAACACTCTGCTAGGCATCTTACAAAAGGCTTCTTCCCTAGACACTGAGTGTGAGCCATTCGTAGAAGCAGGACACGTCTTCACATGTTAACAGCTTCTCCTGAAAAGCATTTCACTGATTTTATCTTTCCCCTTCAAACCAGAAAAACGAAGCCCAAGCCTCATAAAGATAAACTTATTGGTGTTTAAGGGCCTGTTTCTGATTCTGTATTTCTCCAGGTCCGGTAAACTAAAGTAGAGCTGTAGCAGAACCAACCGACAGGCAACCAGAGATGAAATAAGAGACAAGGCAGAACACAGGACGATCCAAAGCCATAGGGAAAAGAATAAAGCAGCTTACAGACAGCTCTGGAAGTTCAACGCCTTAATCACAGACCAGCTTCGTGCCGTTTCGCATTAGGAACAAATCCCGTGTCACGCGAGAACAGAACGGAGGAAAGAAAGAACAGAACAAATCTGGCCACGCAAGGCTGGAATTTGGCTGCGGATGGCGAAAGAGGCAACGCACCTGGGGCCGGGGCCACGATCTGCCCACGGGAACCTCCGGCTGAGCGCTCGGGGAAGGGCTGTGCCTGGCTCCAGCGGGACAGCCGGCACACCGCGTGTGAACCCCGCAGCCCCGCCGCACCCCGCGCTGCGCCGCTGTCCGCCGCCAAAAGCGTCCCCGCGGCGCGCCGCGCCCTGCGCCTCCGTTCCGCCCCCGCCCTCAGCTCGATCCCCTCCCCCCGCCCGCTCCCCGTTCATCAGATTTCCTTTTATTTTTATGACACTTTTTATTCGCATTGCTTTTTTTCCGCCTTCCCCCTCCTCCCCCCCCGCATCACCGCCGGCAGCCGAGGCGCAGCGCTTGCAGCGCAGCCCCGGGTGTCGCTCCCGCATCGCCCCGTCCCGGGGGCTGCAGGCGTGATGTACGCGAGGCTGGCGGCTGGGCGGCAGGCAGGACGCGGCACGAGGCCCCGCTGACGGCGGGAGGCTCCGGAACGGCGTCAGTCCTGGCTCGAAATGCCCAAATGTCAGGGAAAGAGCTGACAGCCAAATACGGAAGAAGACAATAATGAGCAGAAGATTAATGAGCTATCAGCAACGGCCTTGAAAGGCCAGAAGGTGGCTGCAGTTCTCCCTTAGGAGCCACGGGGCTCTCTCTCCCTCCAGCTGTGAGCTGCCCACTGCCCATCTGGATGCACCCCTGAAGCAAGTGTCCTCCTCCTCCCAGGGCTGGAGGAGGCGGGGGCTGTCCTGAGCCTGCAGAACCCAGCCAGGCGGCACGCAGAGCTGAGAGAAATGTTGATTTCCAGGGCACGACAGCATCTCTGTCTGCAGACAAAATCATATGCTGTGGGCTCCACGCCCATGCAGAGAAGAAGGCACAAAGGACCAGCAACGCCTCGTTTTCCTGGGTTTGATCTCTGCCCTGAGGATTCAGCCCACACCGATTCACAGCCCCACAATGGCACCAAGTCAGTGAGCTGCACCAGCCTTGCTCCAGGGAACACAAGAGGGAGGGCCGGTCGGTCAGAATGTGGTCCTCAGCTTCCACCGATACAACAGGAACTTTGTAATGGGAAGAGCTGCGAGCTGAACTGGTGGCTGCTGACATCCTGCCAGCTACAGCTGCCCAGGAGCAAGGCAGCAAAGAGAGGGATGGATATGGCTTGAGTCTGCCTTAGGCACAGGCAGGTTGTGTGCTGCATAAACAGTGCAAACAGCTTCACACCGCTGTGAGATGAACACGTGAGCACCTGTCTGCGGACTCCACACAGGACAGCTGTGCAGTCTTTCAGGTCTCTCCACAGACTGACAATCCCTCCTGATTTGCTTGTTCTCCCCACTCCACCAACTGAGCACCAACAGAGTCATTGCAGGCATGGCTGTAACTGGAAGCAGTGGTTGCGCTGGAAAACACAGCTCTTTGGTATGAGGCTCCTTCAGGGGAGTTGCAGGAAGGAAGGGAAAAAAAAAAAAAAAAAAAAAACAAGAAAAGAGAAGTGGGGTGGTTACCAAAGCTGCTAATCACAGTGCCAGGATGCCTTGGAAGGCACAGGGCAGCCCAGTGTCACATGCCTAAGGCATCCCGTCTCCAGACTTCCTCGCCCGCGATGTACGTGGCTTGCACATGCAGGCTATCATCCAGCATCAGGAAATCTGCACCAGATAGGAGAGAAAAGAAACAGCTGTCAGAGGAACAGAGGAAGAGCAACTGGGGCAGCTGAAGCTGGCCCAGAGGAGCTGGGCTCTAGGTTTGCCTCCACACTAAGGAGTTTCTCCCCACTCCAGAAACAGGGCAGGACTGCAGTGTAGAACCATCCTTGCTCTGCTCCAAGCTCATCTGAGATGTGGGATCCTCTCCAAAAGGCTCATGAAGCATCACCAGCACCCACAGGAAAAAAAAAAAAAAATCACCAAAGCAAAAGCCCAAAGCAGATCCTGGGCAGATTGAGGGTCCCCAGTGCCCCCAGTGAAGCAGCAGAAGCATCCTGCATTTATAGCAGGCCCTACTTTTCTCCAGCATGCAGAAACCCTTCCCACCATCCCCATAACAGTACCTGCATCAGAATCATAATTCAGGGTCCCCTTTCTGTCTTCAATCCCCAAGAGCTGGGCAGGATGCAGAGATGCTGCCTCCAGCGCAGTCTCCACTGAGCACCCTTGGACAGTGGAGGAAGAAGCGTTAGTGCAGCAAACAGCCTCATCAGCAGAGCAGCCCAGTCCTTGGTTAAGGCAACTGGTGGCACTGCGGGGACCTTTGTGACAACCAAACCCATGCACAGGGCCCCAGCGTCTTTGTTGGCACTGTCTGTGTCCTGTCCTGGTACAGTAGAGCACTAACACTGATCTGACTGCTACTGCCCTGAACTACAAGGGCAGGAGGAGCTGGGAGGCCCAGTCACAGATGGCTGGAGCTGGGGAGGGGAAACATCTCTGAGGGAAACAGTAGGAAGAAGAGAACTGATTACTTAAGGTACAGGGTGGGGAAAGTCGTTCACTTTTAGGTATGGGAAAAGAGCAGAACAGTTCAACCCTACTTAGTGCTGCAGGTTACAATGAAGCACCCCTCCTAAAGGCGTTTGTCTCCAAGGCCAGTACCACTGATGTCAGCCCTTCTCCTCGTGTCTCGGACAAGAGGGGACATCTATAGCTGAGCAGACACAGCTGGCAAGAACAAGACTTTTTCACGGGGAGGAACAGCTTGTAGACAACGCTCACCCACCTGTAGCTTCCAGAAAGTGTCGCACACAAGTGTCCATGGTTGCCACACTACCACTCAGGGTCTTTGTGCCTGGGAGAGAACAGGACAGCACTGAGCAGAACCCCAAAGGGGCAGAAATCCTGGGTCACGTGAGAAGCAAGTTGAAGGGCTCTCAGCCACTGCTGAGGAGTAACAGAAAGAGGCAAGAGCGTTCGTGCTGGCAGTGAAGGGAGACGCATGAAGATGTCACCATGCAGCTCCCCTGTTAAGACCAGCTGGACTGGTTGAAACTCTAGCTCACAATGCAGGCACCTGCTGCCAGAGACAGAGGGAGGGAAGTGGCAAAGGAACAGCCCTCCAGAATATCTTCCCAGTCTCCAGCTGTTTGCAGATTAGGGAGCTTACTTAGCAGAAAGTGATGATACTGCAGTAAAGACACGGGACAATAAATAACAGTGGGATTTCTTTGTCCTTTCTGACCATGCACCAATTTCTAGCATCCACCCTACTTGGCAAGGAGATCAAAGGTGCTGCAGACAAGCTAAAAATTGTCAAATTCCTCCTCACTCCAACAAGACAGGTCAATTTTCCTTTTCATGAGATGCACCACTCTCCTCGCAATCAAGTTATGGCAGCGATATTAAATGATCAGGCAACAAAACCCAAGATGGCACAAGTGCTGCTTCACACTGACGAGCTCTGCAAGGTGTGCTGAGCTCTCCAGGAATAGGCACGAGTGATATGACCGTGTGCAGCTCTTTGGCAAGAGGCACCTACCTGCAATGTAGGTGTTGAGGCCATCGATCTCCACCACCTGCTGGCCCAGTGTATGCCGACCTGGTGCCAGCCCCATGCCAGCAATAGCATCCGTCACCAGCACCATGCCTGAGGAATGCAAGGAAACAGGCTGGAGCAGCTTTGCAACTAATCCCACTGCGTTATAATCTGAGCTCTGTGCCACGCCAACCCCCCCTGAGAGGTACCAAGACATCTCCAGCCGCATCCAGCTGAGGTGACAGGCTGCGGATTAAGACTTCTTTCAGACAGCACGATAACAAGCCACGGCAGTCGTGGGAGATGGCACAGCATTTGTGATGCTGGTGACACCACGCTGCTGCCACTGTGTGGGCACAGTACGGCCTACCTTTGGGGTGGGCTCGATGGGCGATCCGCAGGGCAGCAGGGTTGGTGTGGATGCCATCAGAGATCATGCCGTAGAAGACCCTCCGCCCAGCAGGAATCTTATCACTTGTCAGCAGCCCCACGATCCCAGGGTCACGATGGTGGAACTACCCAAAGTGGGAGAGGAAAAGATGATGGGTGTCACACCAGGACTCGCGGGCTGAGACCCTTCCTGCTTCATCTCTATCAAACAGTGCCTGGCAGCTGGGCACTTCATCCATTATCAAGCGTAACCAGGCAACCCCTCCAATTTCAAGAGACTGCTACAGCTTTGACTCTCTTAAGTCAGGCAGTAGAAGCATGAAGCCAGAGGTTCTGTGCTGAAATTCCACTGCAAGGCCTGGTACAAAACAAGTTGATGGTGCAAATAAGCGTTTGTGGGGAGCAAGAGAGAAAGCAGTGAAAGCAATGCTGGCACAGGACAAATGCCCTTGGCAACTCACCGGCAGCATGGCATTGAAGAGGTGAGTGATGAAGGTAGCACCGTGCTGCACAGCCTCCTCAGCCTGGGAGAGGTTAGCCACTGAGTGACCTGGAACAGAGACCACTGTGTGATTCTTCTGCTCATCTCTGCATTTATTTTCCTAGAGGAACACCCAAGAGTAAAGATGCTCTGTTAGGGCTCTGCTCTGAAGCTCCACCCTGGGCTTAGGTGAGCACCAGCCTTGTTGCTGAGCTGTCTGACCACAACCAGTGGGGACTGGCAGGAGGGGATTCACCTGAACACACTGGTCACAACAGTCACAAACGCTGCCTTGCTCCTACAGGCACTGGGGAGAGTTGCCTTCTGGCTGGGCTACAAGTCCTAGGATTTGCATTTCCGCACTCCTCAGATATTTCAAGGCTTTATACAGAGAGGTGTCAAAGATGTAGGGAGAAAGTGGGCAGTTCTCCAAGAAATGAAATGTTGATAAAACAAAATCCAGAAAGAAAATGTTGTTTTCCCTAACATGGACAGCAGATCTGTTGCCTTTCTTTGATTGTCTTTACGTGACTGTGAGACAAGATATCTCTGCTGCACAAATACCCAACTGAATTAAGGTTCAGTTTCACCTTGAAGAAAGGGTGGTGGGAGTGGTGGGAGAGGTCTTCAGCTCTTCTAGTTGTATAACCGAGTTATCAAGACTCAACAGCAACCTTTGGAAAACAGTATCACCTGTCAAATAAGGCCTAAAGCTGCTGAACTTCAGAGTTTGAACCTTTCCAAGTAGTCAGCCTGGAATTACATCCTTATTAAACTGAATGTTAAAAAAAAAAAAAAGAAAATTATGACTGCTGTTCTTTCCTGTGTTTTCCCAGCACCAGTGCTACCCTGTGCAAAACTACAGGAGCCCTTCGACCAACCTTTTGTTTGCAGACAGGGTGACAGATTTACAGCATCAACTGAGTTCCCTGTATGTCACACATCTGTCACCCTCCCTGAAGGCCAGGAAAGAGGCGACAAAAGAAAATACCACCCAGCCCAGCCACACAGAGACACCATTAGAGATATCACAGCCCTGGGCTGCCCGACCCATGCTGCATGTGACACGGACAGACCGAGCCTCCCCCCAGCCCTTACCGAGTGAGACACAGATGCCTCGCTTGGTGAGTTCCTGGATCACCTCGTTGCTCCTCTTTATCTCTGGGGCCAAGGTGACAATGCGGATGCAGTCCAGGGACCCGTAGGTGGCAAGCAAGTCCTGGAAGGCATTTTCCTCGAAGGTGCGGATGCAGTGCTCTGGGTGTGCCCCCTTTTTCTCCTTGCTGATGAATGGTCCTTCCAGGTGAGCCCCTGCTCAAAGGGGAACAGAGTCATCTTTCTTCCTCTTCCAGCCAAGGAACAAGAAACCTGCTGTGTCCATCCTGCTCCAGCCAAGCTCTTCCCATTCCCCCACAGTAAAGCAGAGTTCAGGTAAATCAGAGCTCAGTACAGCAACAGATGCAGCACTGGCCAGCCCCATAGCCGTTACTCTGTCAAACCCCATAGGGCTGATGGCAGAGCACACTGCAAAGGCTGGGGACAGGTTCAGGGAGACAGCAGGCCTGTGCCCACCTATGTATCCCTGCCACCGAGAGAGCTTCAGCTCCCAATTCTTCTGTTCCTAAAACAGCTTCTTTTTCTTAAGAAGGAAAAGGATAAACAACAGGCACCAAATAGGACAGTGACAAAATCACTTACCCAGGATACCAGCTCCGTGAGCTCCACCATTTCTTACACTGATCTGGGGAAGAATCTACAGAAAGGGGTTAGTCAGACACCTCACATACACAGCACTGCCAAAGCAACCCAAACCTTGGGCTCCCACAGAGCTGCTGCACCACCAGAAATGAAAAGCCAAGCAGCTCACAAAGGAAAAGCAAGCTGCAAGCCCCTCTGTGCAAGGTAGCTACCTGCTGGCCTGGGAAACACCGCTGCCTCAGTGGTGTAAAGCTTAAGGGCAAGAAACCTGGGGCTGTTCAGGTCCTTATGTCCACAACTCATCCACTATGGCAGCCGTCTCATTGTCTGAAGATGAGACTGAGGAACCAGCCTTGGCTCTCTTGTACCAGCATCAGCTCTTTATCACCCTAAGGATAAGAGGAGGAGAAAGTCACTCACCTGGTGGTACACAGATGGAGGGGATGTCACCAGGGTGGGACAGAAGGAGGTCACTCCATGGGAGAGTATTTTCTGACCGACCAGGTCAATCCCTGATCTGAAATCATCCGTAGCCAGGGAGAAATCCACCCCAAAGCCTCCTGCACCATGAACAAAACAAAGGTGAAGCCGCAGGCTCCGCAGCAGCCAGGCAGTGCTGCCCAGAGCCCCATCTCCAGCCCGGGCCCAGCAAGGCACTGGGGCTGCACCTGACGATTCCCAACCCCAAAACGCTGTGGAACCATTTGGGGTGAGCAGTGCAAGCCTCCAGCTTTGCACAGCACAGCCTGGAAGCAAAAAGGCTTCACCAGCACTTCTGCCCCAAATTCCCGAAGTTCTGACAGCGCAAACCCAGCCAACGCCATCCATTCCCCCCAGCACAGAGAAAGGGGCAGCGGCGTGCACCTCACCGTTGATCTGCACGTCGATGAAGCCCGGGGCGAGGATGCAGCCCTTACAGTCCAGCTGGACGTCGGCAGAACCCTTCTCGTCGAAGAAGAGTTTCTCGGGGTTGAGGATCTTCCCCTCCCGCACCCACAGATCCTCCCTGCGGGGACACCACGCTCACACCACGATCACACCCTGCCCGGGGCCCCCGCACCCCGCGCCGTCCCACTCACCGCTGCAGGCGGCGGCCCCGCAGGAGGCGGCAGTTGGTGAACTGCACGATGGGGGCGTCCGACACGGATTTGTTGGACGGCATCGCCGGGCCGAGGGAGTCGACCCGCAGCGGGGCTGCGCGAGGGCAGGGCAGGACCGCGGAGCCGGCGGCCGGGCCGGGGCCGGGGCCGGGCTCCTCCCAGCGGCCCCGGGCCCACGCTCGGACCAAAGGCCGCAGCCGGGCCCAGAGCCCGGGACCGCCGGCGGAGGGCGGCGGGCAGCGGGGAGCGAGGCGGGGAGAGGAGCCGCGCTTACCCCGGAGCACCGCCGGTCCTCTCACGTGAGCGCTCCGAACGGCCGCCCCGCCCCGCCCCACACATGACCGGCCCAAGGGCGCCGCCATCTTGGGGAGGTGGCAAAGGGCCACCGCCATCTTGGGGAGGTCGCGGTTTCTCCACAGCCGCCGGCGGGCAGGGAGCTAAATTCAGATGTCAAAAGTCACAGAATCACAGAATGGCTGGGGTTGGAAGGGACCTCAAGGATCATGAAGCTCCAACCCCCTGCCACACGCAGGGCCACCAACCTCCCCATTTCACAGCAGCCCAGGCTGCCCAGGGCCCCATCCAACCTGGCCTTGAACACCTCCACGGATGCACGGGGCATCCACAGCCTCTCTGGGCAGCTGTTCCAGCACCTCACCGCTCTCTCTGTAAAGAACTTCCCCTGACATCCAACCTCAATCTGCCCTCCCTCAGCTTCAAACCATTTCCCCTCATCCTGCTGTTATCCACCCTTTCCAAGAGAAGGCTTTGAGGTCTTTCCCAACCATAACAGCTCTGCAATGCCACATCTGAGCTCCTGTGGAGGCTGGCAGAAGCGTACGCTGCTGTTCCAGTGCAGTGTGCTTCAGGGCTCTTGAGAAGGTGTGCAGAGCACCAGTAGGAAGGCTGTGATTGCTGGGGAATCCCACCTCAAACACAGCATTTCAAACACGGCGGGCTGGAAGAAGTGGGAGGCAGTGGGCACCCATCTCCTGCATGGACCATGGGAGCCGTCTCCTCATTACCTCATCCCACACAGCTCCCGCTGCCTCCTGCCTTGTGCTCAGATTATGAACGCTTGGGGCAGAGTCTTTTTGCCATTGAATCTGTGCTGATTCCAGTTTAGAGCCCTTTAGAGCAGAAGGTGGCCCAGAGGATCAATGCCAAAGGACTGAGGCAGCCCTGGTGCCTTCATCTCCACAAGTTAGCTGTGTTCCCAGCCCTTGTATCACCCAGACAAGGCTGCTGCAGCCCTCAGTGAGCCATGCATGGCACAGCTCCTGGCCCATCCTTGCTGTCAGAGCCCTGTCGCATCTCCATGCTGTTCTCCCCAGCACTGCTGAGCGAGCAGCCCTATGCCAACGCCAGTTAAATGGCATTACATTCGAGTATTCATGTTTTATCAGGCAAAGTTCAAAGGCCTGGGAGGTCAGACAAGAGGGATTAGTGGTTCCTAATGGCTTTTAAGCCTGAATTTGTGAATAAGTAACTCTGGCTTGAGTGGCTGCAGTGGCTTGTTCCTCCCCAGGGAATGAGGAGTCTGCCTGGAGGAGCTGCTCTGCTTTGTCCTCGTGCATTGCACCCGCATGTGACTGCCTGCTGCAGGCATGTGTACGGCGTGGGGCCGAGAGGCCGTGCTCACTGTGAAGGGAAGTAGTGCTGCAGGCTGTGATGCATCAGTCCTGCTCGTGGTTATTTACCTCCTGAAAGGGAACCATAGGCAGATGCAGGTCTGCTAATTGCTGAAGGAGTGGCTGATCCTCAGCCCCAAAAGCTGGCAGTGTGCTGGAAATTGTGTAGCTGCTCAGAAATCTGGCTAGGCACAACACTACACCACAATAACTACACGAACAAGATGAAACCATAATTGTTTATTGGCTTGGGCAAAGTAAGGTTTCTGGAACCCCTCACTTCGCTGTTCCGCTCTCAGCTTCAGGGAAAGAAAGTTAACTGTGACCTGGACATGTAAGTCATTCCTTCTTTTAAATGTTACTTCTAAGCTGACAGCATTGCTGTAGGCAGGCTGCTCCGGTCATCTGACAAGTCTGCAGCAGCCTGGGAGAGAAGACAAAGCTATTCTGTGCTCTAAGTGCCAGCCCTGGGCTGTCCTCACCAGCACACCATGCCACCAGTGGTCCTTCTGATGTCTGCATCTCTGTGGGCAGAAGGGAAATCATGTCCGACCACCATAATGTTAAACTTTGTTCTAATTAAAGCAGCATCCCCACCGAACTCTGTATTTACTCCTAGATGTCTGCTTGCAGACTTTCCCTTCCATTCTCTTTGCTCCATGTTGCTGCAGCAGTGTCCAACCAACACTCTTGCTCTCATTTTATCTAGTTCAGCGTCCCACAGCATTGTAGAGTCAATTACCTCGTCAAGAACTGTGTCTAAGCAGGGTGCTGATGTGAGCTCCTCTGATGAACCATGTTGAGAAAAGAAAAATGAAGTGAAACGTAATGGTCCATGAACATAACATCCCCGTCTAGCCAGGAAGTTAATGTAGAGATCAGCATTTAATACTGTACTTATTCCATATGTCAGTGCTTGTCTGCACAACAAAGCTACCTTTCAGTGTCAGCAGGATGCCAGTAAAGGCCATTGGAATGGAGAATGATGTTAGTTTATCCCAAGAAAACTACACACAGCCTGGTTTGGGAATGTGAGGCTAGGAGCAGCTTCAGGCCGGTTTTACTCATCATGGTTGAATTATCCATCCTCAGGGGCACCCAGCAGCATGTCAGTGAGAATGACTTGTGGCTTTAGTACGGCTAAAGAGACTCCAAAACCAGAAAATTAGAAAATGAATCCTAACAATGTATCTCAGGCCTGTTTATTCAAGCCAATAACTTTCTAAGGGCAGAATCACCTTTCCAAACAGCTAAATTCAGATGTCAAAAGGCACACAGAGCACCCAAACGGCTTACAGCGAAACGGCGTTTTCACATGCATGTACATTCTGACAGCATGTGTGACAGCATGTTGTGACAGCAGTTTTCCTTGGCCGTGGAAGAAACATCCAGGTAGTTACACGTGGTAACGTCCACTATAACAGAGCTTGCCATGGGGCCCAGCCTGCCAACAGCTTCACCAACCCTTTGGCAAAACATCTATGATGAAAGCCAGAAGCGAGCCACTGAATCACAGCACTGGGAGATGGCCCTGACCTCCCTCTGTTCTGCTGCATGAACAAACAGAACAGCCTGCTCTGAGACAACAGGTATGGGAATCTGCCTCAGCAATGCTGTAGGTGCGTTACCCAGCCCAACTTCATGTCGCCCATCTGCTCCACTTAAGGATTGTCCCTTTGGAGGCTCTCTATTTCACAGAATTAAACCAACCCTGCCTTGCCTCACCAAGAATCACACGCTCCTCCTTTAATAAATGCACGCTCTTTCTCTCCACTGCTCCAGTAACAGGCTGAGGGAATCACAAGCAGTAGCTTCACTTGTTTTTCCCTTAGCAAATCATTTCTTTTCCAGGTCAAGTTATTTTTAACCTGGCTCAATTCCCAAATCAGATTCACTGCCTCGCCACAGGAAAAGCTGTAGCAGCACGTTTGGGAGAAACGGGGGAGGCTTACAGATGTGAGCAAAGGTACAGTTACCAAAGCAAGGAGGGCTTAGGCTAGCTCTGCTGCCAAAATAAAGGCTTGTGGAGATGCAGATTTGGTTTCTCATTTTTCACGTGCATTCCCAAGGAGGTCTAAAAATTGTTCTAATGAACAGAGACCAGAGATGCTGCTCATATCTATGAGCTGGACACCATGCTGACCTTGGGAACTCCGGGGGTTTCCTAAGATTAGCCCTCAGCCCGAGAGACAAAAACATTGGACCAAGGGGGTCTTCACCCTCTGCTGCGTGAGGCCGTCCTGTCATCCTGCCCCCTCTGAATGAAGCTGGACACTGCATGAACAGCTAAATCCACATCACTGACAAAAAATAAAGTGCTACCTCCATTTCACTACAAAACTGCAGCGGAGACTGTTCAGCGTCACATTCAAACTGGAGTAAAGCTGGAAATGGGATCCAGATGTTCAAGGGCATCTCCAGCTTTCCCCTTATATACACACCTTTCTGCAGCTCTTATTGCTTGGTTTGGTTTACACTGTTCTGTTTGGCGTTTCTCACTTCGATCCCCTGTAATGCAGCAACCACAGGAACCCAGGGCACAGGAGCAGGGGTTTCACTGGAACAGATCCCCCATCCCTGCAGGCATTCAAGGCCAGGCTGGATGTGGCTCTGGGCAGCCTGGGCTGCTGGTTGGCGACCTGCACACAGCAGGGGTTGGAACTGGATGAGCACTGTGCTCCTTTGCAACCCAGGCCATTCTGTGATTGTAGAATTCTCCAAACAGGAGTTACTTTATTGCAATTAATTTTCAGATGCATTTGGATTTTCTAAAGCAGTCCTAAAAAGCAGTCACTGACCAACATAGGTAGGTTCTGCTTCTACAGCAGAGCATTAAATAATTTAAAAAATCACAGCATTTGGTGAGGAAAAAACCCCAACATACGAAAGCTAACAAAGCAAAAGGTCAGCAAGCTCTTCCAACGCATTGTCTATGCTGACAGCATTGGAGAGCAGGCATCCCTCGCCTTTACCTAGCTTGAACCGACTGCTAATGGACATTACCCTCTGCTGCTGCTGCTGCAGAGCCATTCTGTTCTGTTCTCTCTGCAGGGCTGACTCACTCTGCAGTGCACGCAATCTGCCACATTACACAGAACTATTTATGTGCCAGCAGACGCCACCTCTTCTCAGTCAGGCCCGCCACGAGGCTGTCGTTCCATGCTCTGGGGCTGCCTGCTCTGCTCTTCCAAAGCAAAGTCAATCCCTGGTGGATGCAATCCCTGATGGATGGGGCTGCACTCAGACCTAGCAGAGGAGCGGTCAGTAAATGAAGGAAAGGAGCTGAAAGGTCTGTAATTTTCCTAGTACCTTGACTCACCTCAGAAATCTGGTGACACAGTAGCCTCACCAGAGGACTTGAAAGGCAAGTTTTCACCTGGGAGTCACCAGTGAGGATCTAGAGCACGGCTGTAACAGAGAACAGCCGACGGAGTTAGACTGTTAATT